AGGTTGGTACTGTCAGCTTATAGTTTTTGCTTAGTCTCACTTCTGTCTAAGAGCTTCAAAAACTTGGACCTGCAGCGCGTGGCACGATGTATATTCAGCTCGCCAACTTCCCCACGCACTACCTCGTACTGGTCCTCACAGACGAGGAGTTCAGATATGCACTCATATCGACAAAGATGCTCTCGGACACGATGTTCGGCAATATGATCATGGAGGATATCGGCTGGCTTAATGTGAGACGCATACGAGGGAGCGGTGGTACTGGCATGGATGATATAGTAGTGTCATCGTCATCTCTTGTTGCACAGATGGGGCAAAAGAGGAAACGGGATGATCTCTCTCCAGAATTAACAAGAAGTGAAGACAGGTGAGATTTTCTTCAGCGTTGAATTTTTCTCGCTAGATTCAAATACCAGTTTCAACTTGGAGACCCAAGTGCTTCGTGAACTATATGCATATTGCTGGTACGAATGATCATTCCTTTATCAGCTAGTGTTGAATAACTCTTCCAGCGCGCGCGTTGCATACACCGGAGTCGAGCGCCAGTTCAAGCTCCGTGGAATCCCGTACACCCATGTCAACCCCACGATCGCACTTCCGCAGACATCTGATCTTGGGCACATTCAATCATCTCTTGCGCGTTCTGTACCGGCGCTTTGTGTTCAGTCCTCAGACATTTTGTCTGGTGCTCCGGCAGCCGAGGCAGCCATGCCCAACATCCGGGTCATACCACTAAATTGGTGGTCGGACAAGAAGGCGCAGGTGGTAACCTGCGTTAAATTGAAGTATGTACAACAGCCCGTCGGTAAACGTGCCGCGGCAGGTGCTAGCAGCAAGAATATCATTCGTCCGTCGAAAAGGATCATCTATGATGCAGCAGAGGCTGTGGTCTCCTTTTTGTCTGAAGAGGTCGACACATGTGTGGACGAATTTTTGGAGGAGTGGGCCCGCGTTTCTAAGATGGTCGTGATCGCTCGAGAAGGTGCGCTATACTTCGTCAAGTATTACCGATGCTTACACAAAGCAGTCGCACGTATGGCAAAAGAGAAGAAATGGCGAGATGTGAGACTGCTATCCTTTGACCTGCAAACTGTGGAGTTTGCATACGCCTCAGTGAGTGGCTACCGTCGATTACGTCGAATGATGTCTCAGGTCACCTGCAGGATTATACTGTTTTAATTACTTGTACGGACCAGTTATCACCTACGGGTGGGTCCTTCGAACTACGCTTTTCGCGTTGCACACCTTCACCGACACTCCTACAACCTTCCTCTCTCGCTCCGCCTCAACTTCCCTTCCCGATTCATCAGCTACAAATTAACCCCCATGAACAAGCTGAACCGTATCTCCGCCATGTTCTCCGCCACGGACCACTTGCATCCTCCCTAGACCGCCTTGTTGAACTTCTTCGAAATACCCTTCCTATTGCAGTAGAACTTGAGAGCATGAGGGCGAGCTCCAATAATACCAAGCAGTCTCCAGGACGTGGTAGGGGTAGGTCGCATACAGTTGTCAATGCCGGTGTCGCCGAGCCGTGGGTTACTACGCGTGTCGAAGGCTTAGGCTGGTGGAGGGTGCTATATGGCGATCTCAGGTGAGGTTCTTCACCTTTCACTCATTAACTTTACTGAACATACATACTGAACATGACATGGTAGGCATGCTCTTGACTTCCGGTTAATGACGGGAAAACAAATTGCTATCCTAGATGCGTCATACTCTCTCTTCGGCAGCAGCACACGAACTTCTTCTTCCTCTTCGTCATCATCTTCCGAGTTTCTCAGTCTGCCACCAATTCCAGATTTCAAGACCCTCGTTATTGATGCGATAAGATGTGTTCGTATGAAGGACAAGCATGCAAGAGTTGCCTGCATCGATGTCGGGGTAGTCTGTGATAGCGCTGTTGTGGGTGTTATGGCGAGTGCATTACATGAACGAGTGTTGAAGAAGTTAAGGGAGGTATTATCGAGATAAACGTTACAATAGTACCTCGTGAATGCACATCATTTGCAAAAGTTATGTAGCTAACTGCTTCGGTCTAGTGACCGCACGACTGTGACATCTTCTCACGGGGTGGCACGTGAGCGACATTGTGACGGCTGTTCTAGATTTTTCCCAGATTCAAACATTTTTATTGCGAGATTTCTTGCAAACAGTTTTCTCTTCGTTCCGTCCTCGTCCTTCGAATTCCCATTCCTTTTTTCTAGTTCATCGCTGTTGTTGTTGAAGTAGCCATGCACACGTCCTCCCGTGCCCTCCGCCGCGCCGCCGCTAAAGCAAAGCCCAGCCTTGCTCGCGGTGTACACAAGGATATTAAGTTCAGCAATGACGGCCGTGCTAGCATCCTTAAGGGTGTCGATGTCCTTGCCAATGCTGTCAGCGTAACCCTCGGTCCAAAGGGTTAGTCTCACATCCCTCCTCTTCTCTCCCGTGAAAATGAAAATGAACATGGGCTGAAAAATTTGTGACTTCAAAGGCCGCAACGTCATCATTGAGCAAAGCTTCGGTGGACCCAAGATTACCAAGGGTGCGTGCCATTTCTTTCCTCAAGTTTTATTCTCATCCGAGCCTTCATTAGATGGAGTGACCGTGGCCAAAAGCATCTCTCTCAAGGACAAATTTGAGAATCTTGGCGCTCGGTGAGCTCCTTTTCACTCACTATCAATATCAGGACCATTCCTTACGCTTTCCCAAACAGTCTTGTTCAAGATGTCGCCCAAAAAACCAACGAAATTGCGGGTGACGGTACCACCACCGCAACTGTCCTGGCTCGGGCCATCTATGCTGAGGGTGTGAAAAACGTAGCCGCCGGGTGCAATCCCATGGACCTTCGTCGCGGTGCCCAAGCCGCCGTCCAAAAGGTTGTCCGGTTCCTCGAAGCGAACACCAAGACAATCACCACCACTGCTGAAATTGCTCAGGTCGCCACCATATCTGCTAATGGTGACGAGCATGTTGGTGGGTTGATTGCGCAAGCGATGGAGAGAGTAGGGAAGGAGGGTGTGATCACTGTGAAAGAAGGTCGGACGATTGAAGACGAGATTGAGGTGACAGAGGGCATGCGCTTCGATCGCGGTTACATCTCCCCGTATTTCATCACCGATGTCAAGACTCAAAAAGTCGAGTTCGAGAAGCCCTACATTCTCCTCTCCGAAAAGAAGATCTCCCTTCTGCAGGATATTCTCCCATCCCTCGAGACCGCTGCCGCTGCTCGCAGACCCTTGGTCATTATTGCAGAAGATGTAGATGGCGAAGCCCTCGCAGCCTGTATCCTCAACAAACTTCGTGGGCAGCTCCAGGTTACTGCCGTGAAAGCACCCGGCTTTGGTGACAACCGCAAGAGCATCCTCGGGGACCTTGCCATCCTTACCGGCGGCACAGTTTTCACCGATGAGCTGGACATCAAGCTCGAGCGCGCAACAGCTGACCTCCTGGGTAGTACTGGCAGTATCACCATCACCAAAGAGGACACTATTATCCTCAATGGTGGGGGCTCTAAGGATGCTATTTCCGCACGGTGTGAGCAGATCCGCGCGCTCCTGAATGATCCCGCCACCTCGGAGTTCGACAAGACGAAGCTCCAGGAGCGCCTTGCCAAGCTCTCGGGAGGTGTCGCGGTTATCAAGGTCGGTGGCTCATCTGAAGTTGAGGTTGGAGAGAAGAAAGACCGGTATGACGATGCGTTGAACGCAACACGCGCAGCTGTTGAGGAGGGTATCCTCCCAGGTGGTGGTGTCGCACTGCTCAAGGCCAGCCTTGCTCTCAAGACCGCTGCTCCAGGCGAACCCGCCTCCTCTGACCCTGACATTATTCCGACTGCCAACTTCGATCAAGGCCTCGGCGTGAGCATCATCCGGCGGGCATTGGCGCAACCCGCACGTACGATCCTGACCAACGCGGGTGAGGAAGCAAGCGTCATCGTCGGCACGCTTATCAACTCGTCTAACACGTCATTCGCGTACGGCTATGACGCATCGAAGGGCGAGTATACCGATATGATCGCGCGGGGTATCGTCGACCCCTTGAAGGTCGTGCGGACTGCCCTTGTGGATGCCTCGGGCGTTGCAAGCTTGCTGACGACGAGCGAGTGCTGCATTGTGGATGGCGAGGAAGAGAAACCTGCAGGCGGTATGGGTGGTGGTGGCATGGGAGGCATGGGCGGAATGGGCATGGGCGGGTTTTAAGAGGTTGAGCTAATGTCAGGCTATGAACCTCTTGACGTCGGACCTCACCTGTGACGTTGGGACGTGCGGGGAAAAGTATTATTATCCGCCATTCAATCAAGACCTCATTTTATGCTCATTTATTACCCCTTTGCTTTGTTGCACCCATCACGCCCCCTTCAATTCATGTCATGCACTCCCCGTACTTGTATCTCCACATCACTAGTTAGCTACTTACTTGCATTGGATTAACCACCACTCAATTTTTGTCTCATTCGAGGTACTTGCTTCTGCGAGATTCGGTCACTGCCCAGAGCGGGTGAAATTATCCAGTGTTCACAGCGCAAACAGGTGAACCAACTTGTTTTATTACCAAATTCACGTCTCCTCTCACAACACTTTGAGTTAAGCACCAAGATCGCCATTTTTCTGGTGCTGTTGACCGTTCACTTATTTTCTACGGTCGTATGCATACGCGCCTGTAGTACAGACCACATGCTAACCGCCGAGACAAACAACGGCTAGAGTCTGGTGGTGTCGATACCATCTGCATGTATTCGTACTAAAAAAGGAAAATAGTTGTTCCTTCGGCTACGTACTTGGAAAACGCAATTCCTTGCGGCCTTGATCCCAAACCCGTGTTCACCCGGATTAAGACGATGTCGTGGGCCAATTGTAAAGTGATACAATCGAATTGAGAACACATCCGAATCGATCAGGATGATTTGTTGAACGTATGGACGGTGCCAAGTAAGAAAGCCATGGCTGAAGAAATGAGCGGAACGAGAGTATATTTACAAGCTCAGATAGCAGCAGAAGTATCTGCCCAAAAAAGAATCCGACCTGCCTGGCTCGAACAGGCGACCTCAAGATGACAAACAACCAATTACAGTCTCGCGCTCTTCCAACTGAGCTAAGGTCGGTTGAGTAGGTCCATTATCGAGGGCACTAAGTACCTCAGCACCTTTGCGGTGAGAGACTGCATCGACCACCCTCGAACGGAGCTGAACAGAGGGCTCCGAGTCCTCATGGTCTTCATTCCAAGGCGTCACCTTCTAACGAAGGTCTTCTTCGCTATCGCTGTCATTCTCGGCGCCAGACTCGTTTTTGTCCCGCCCTCTTCATCAGCCCCGTTGGATCCATCAGCCTTCCAATCCTACAACGTCTTTGAGCGTGTTACAGGCGTCGACAAGATTCTCAATGTCCGAAAATACAAATTCCTCCAGGCAAGGATGGGCAGAGATTCCATGAAGGACATTTTTGATGATACCATAGCCAATGGGGTGGCTGATTATTGGAATCGATTTCAAATGCCCTTGTGAGTTGTACTCCAAGTCTTCATGATACCTGACATGACGATACCCTACTAGAATAACAGGAAAGGACACGGCCCACACCGACCTTCAGGACGTTTTGACTGCTGTCGAGAGCCTATTGTCTCTCAATGGCTGGGTAGCAGCGTACTGTCCAACGCTAGCTCGTCCGTTCGGACAAAACAAAAATGTCGACGAAGATGCATACGATGACCTCGCCAAGGACGACCGCCTGTATTTCGTAGCAATGGCCATTCACTCAGCCGATCACTTTCTAGTCGATCAACTGGCCGTCATCGTCCAGCTTGCTAAGCGCCTGGGCACCTCCAATGTCTTTGTGTCCATGTTGGACTACGATTCCACAGATTCTACTGCGACACTTACTGACCTCTGTGAAGCTGTGTTGACTCTTTTAGGCGTCTCTTTCCGAATTCGACGTGTCTCTGGGATGACAGAGGATCCGTTTGCAGCTTACTATCCCCTGGAAGAAGCCTACATGCGCAACCTCGCAATAGAGCCTCTTATCGAGCTCCACCAGAAGCGCCACGTTGAGTTTTATAGAGTAATTTGGCTGAAAGGATTCACATGTCCGAATGACATCCTCGAAACACTGCGCGTCAGTATCGCCAACGAGGCTGCCATGGTCTGTGGAATGGACTGGGCGGAATCCAGCGGCCAGTTCATATTTTCTGACAGGTATGTTCCCTATCCTTTTCTGTAATTCATCCTCCAACGTTCTTTCTTCAGGTGGCGGACGCGAGACGTCCACGGCGACCAATTCAGGCAATCTACATCCTCATCGAAACCAGATGCAGTCCCTCCTCGAGATGAGAACGGTGCCGCCCGATACATTCAACACCTTCCCTTCCAAGTCTTTTGCTGCGAAGCAGGTACCCACATCGTCGATCCAGCTCAGTCTTACTACAGAGGGCTCAAATACCGCTGCGGCGCCGACTACCACAACGCATCCTCCTCGTCAGAAGGCATCCCCCAACGCGCACCCGATGCTGCATGCCTGGACAGCAGCCAGGCCTGGTTTTGCAGAGATCTGTGGGTTAGCAAAGCACTGGACGACTTTCCAGAGGACGAGCTGTTACCCACGTCTGAACGCCGGACACTCTCACGTAGACAAGTCGTTAATGAGGATGAGGAGTTGGATGCAGACGTGAACGCTGGCTCTGATTATGATGCCATGCCAGACTCGGACGTCCCCATCGACTCGCTCCCTACAGGGCATCTGTCTGTACCCAATTCCGCGTATACTCCTGCGCGAATTTTGGTCAACCCTCGCTGTGTAACAACCTATGCTGGTGTGAGCCACACCCAGCTCGCGCTTGATCTGTTCGGTAGTGGAGATGATGACGAAGCTCAGGTTAATGCCACGAAGTATGTATTAGAAGATTGGGACGGTGCTCCAGAGAGCTTCGTATGTCAGGAACAAAGGTAAGCACTCTGTTCGGTTTCTTTATCACTCCTCTAAAATTCGGTCATAGGCAAACCGGAGGAAGAAAAGCAGCCAAAACGCAGCGCTTGCTTGGATTCTCCATTCATGATGAATTACGATAGTACTATAGTGTCTTAACAACCCGATCTTGTGTATATATATCCACCAGCTTTGTTCGTTTGGGGAGGCAATCTAGATGATAATGTGCATGAGCTACAAGGACTATTATTTTGCCCGTCTTTTCTTTCCGAAGCCCTTGAAAGTGGCCCCATCATCAGAATCATCGTCGGCGACCACACGCCTGCGTTTGGTGGCTCGCGCACGAGCAGCGGGCGTGGAAGGCTCCGGCAGTGCTTCCTGGGAGAAATCAATAGCAAGGTGTGCATCGTCTTTGGCGTCGTCGTCATCATCATCATTATCAGAGGCCATGAACAACTTCTTTGTATCCTTTGCACGTGCCCGCTTGCGAACGGGCTGCTTGACGCTGTTAAGAGTTTGTGACTCGGCGCCCTCCTCGTCAGACTCCATGGCAGCCAACGCACTACGCTTGTCTTTGCTCCGTTGTGTTCCATTTTCGTTAGCCTGCGACTCCTTGGTGTAATCCTTGGCTGAAACGGTGTCTTTCCAGTAACCTGTAAAACCATAAGCTGGCTCCCCCAAGGAACAAATAAAAGAACAATTACCTGCACCCATACCATAGTCATTCTCCTCTTTGACTACGAGCTCGACCGGTGCACGAGAAAAACCATCTATTTTCTACTCCCGTCGTCGGTAAGACTTGCGAAAGAACAATACACTCGCCGCGCACCTTCTTAAATTTCTTGAAATTCGGTCGGTTCATGAAAGAAGAGTCACGAGCGTCATTCGCAGCCACCTCGCGGAGACCGTTCGAGTGCTTGAACACATCCAGATCCATAACGACCATAAAGTTCCCTCTGATATTCGGGATATCATCAAAGTCCCCCAGTGCCGTCCATGGCTGCTCGTCGTCCTCGCGCTGTAGGTCCGGTTTCGATATCCGCAATTTATTGAACTCGCGGTCAAATTCGTCCTCGGTCTTCTTCCCGCGCTTCTTCGAGGCTACAGCAGTGAGGAAGGCTTCATCTTTATCGACCCCGCCGTCAGTGCCTTTCTTGGGCTTCGCCGTCATCCGAGGTGGTTCTGACGACTGGCGGGATGGAGGTACCTTAGACTTCGCCCTGGGTTGGGGAACTGGTGCCCGAGACGAAAGCCCTACATCCTCAACTGGGGGAATTTCCTCGAATGCGATGGACTTGGCTCGCTGTGATGGCCCACTCGAGCTCTCTTCCTCCTCTGCTACGACCGGTAAATGCCTTGGTGGTGCGCCGGCAGCAGATTGCCCCGTCTGTGTGACGCTCTCGCCTAGGGTGCCCACCGCATCGTAGGCTGCCTCAAAAGCTTGCGAGCCCTCGAAGAGTACCTTGTCTGGGTCGCTCGCCTCAAACAGGGCCTTAAACTTCTTGTGCGGGGGTTCTTCATCGACTACATCATCGACAGTCACCACAGGCATGGCAGGAGGTGGAGCTGTCTGAAATTCTGGCGGCAATCCCAACCGGCGCTTCAAGGGTGGGCGACTGCCCGACGGTGGTTTCTAAGCGGTCGATTTAGTATGATGACAATGAAAGACAGAGCTGACATACAGGTGCTTGCGTGGACTCAGGTTTAACTCTTTCAGCATCTGACGTGGGCTTGTCGACATTCATTGCAGAACTCCCATCTGTCTCGACTGGCAGTATTAGAGGTAATCGTCGTACAAGAGGCTGTGATTGATCAATACATGCCTATTACATGGAGACATGGGCACTTACCCTTCTCTTGGGCTTCGTTGGCTCAGGCTCAAGAACCACAGGGGGCGGAGGCGAACGGATCATAGAATCGTGCCTCCCGTTTGCTGGGGAAACTGCACGTTTGACTTCATCCGTGGAGATCTGCCTGTCTGAACCTTGTGGGAAGGATGGCTCGTCGGGGTGTGTGTTGGGAACAAATGAAGGAAGAGGAGACGAGTCACTTGGCGATGCTTTATGGATCGAGAGGACTTTAGTATCATAAAAAGTTCCAAGAGATCTGGTAGAATAACCTTGTGATCCACTTCCGGAGTAAGCTATGCGAGACGCGTCGACGTGAACTACAGCATCGAGAACTGTTTCCAGCTGAACGACATACGCGCTCAGGCTGTGAAGCAGGTTATCAGCAAAGTAAATTTCAGGTGACTCATGTCACTAACCTTTCAGCGTCCGCAACCATTTCCTTCCATTTTTCCTCTTCAACAGCTCTCTGCACCACACTATCCTTTACCAGAATTACGAGCCCCTTACATGCACCTTTCAACTCTTCTACTCTCTTCTTTCCCTTAGCAATGACCTGCCTCCATTTCGTGAGCCCTGCCTTCAAATTGAATCCCTCATATTCTGCGCCACCCCTCACGACCAGCTCTCTCAGCTCTGCATCGACCTCACCGCCTTCCGCGGGTAGAATGAAGCGAAGGCCCCTCAGTAGGTTCAGCCTCTCTTCATTTGGCTCCCAGTGTTTGAAGCTCCTGAGTGCAGAAGGAAGGGTGGATCCAAATGCGGGACGGTACTTGGCCTCAAGCGGTGGGACAAATGAGTTTTCGAGGGCAGTCAAACTGAAAGGGTCGTCTTCTACAGGAGTAGTGCCAAGTCGCAAAAGTTCTTGCAACCACTCTGGCTTAACAAGCTGGGCGGCGCAGAGCAGAGAGGTCATAACTGGGGTCATCACTTCATACTTCGATGTGAGGTGATGCGTAAGAAGTTCGTGGGGCGAAGCCAGTGCGGTAATACCTGCGTGCGGTTTCAGCAAGTTTGCTTGAATTTGGGAACGACACGAACCGATTGAAGCGCAGTCTTCGGAGGGAAACGAGGGCATGCCTCTGACTGGAGGGACAAAACATACCATTCGTTGCCATCGTACTCTTGACACAGTGTTAGACTCCAGGATGATTAGAGGATGATGAGTTGCCTACTCTATAAAAATACCAGCAATAACTGTAACACGGTCTCCATCCTCAAGCGTGATAGAGGCTGACGGATTGCAAGTTACGTCGTCACCCTGTCGTTTGACGGTGAGGGTCTTATCTTTATTATTGACTATCTCAAGTGTGGGGATATATAACGGATCGACCTAGAGG